AAGAGCCTGGTCCCAATGTCCATACTCGTCTGAAACTCGCTTCCTGCTGTTCTTAACGTAGCAGGCAGCAGGAGGGGAAAATCCTCGGGGGCTCCCTCGGCAGCTGCACAGTCAGCCACCTCTGGCTACTGCCGGTTTTTTTTTTTTTTATCCTTTTCCATTGGGATCAACAGCTTCTGTGACCGGAATCAGAGCTTGGTTAAGTACACTTTGTCTATACTTTGATTTCACCGTGAAATACGCGGGCTTTTCCTGTCACCAAAAGTGTTTAGTGACTATGGCAACAGGCTGATTAGCTCCCAAGGTCTGGGAGTGTTCTGTTCATCTGCTGCTGAGCTGCAGCTGCCTTCTGGGGGGGGGGGTACTGAGCGGACTCGGAAGCCTCATTCCACACGAACAACCAGTTGGGTGGGAGGCATGACATTCCATCTCCTCTGTCCTATACTGCGTTCCTATGTCCCCAAGCCTCACGATGCTCACACAGTTGGGCACTCGGCAGCTCTGCATCCTTCCTATCAATGCCAAGGTCAAGAAGCAGATGGTGTCTGGTGCCCCAGACCTGGCAGACCGGAAGCTATAGAAACTGAAAAATGAACCCACAGTTGAGCAATGGTGCAGCTAGGAACGTAATGTCAAAACTGGGCAGTTCCAGAAAGAACCAGGGATAATCACGTGCCCAGTGTCAGGCTCAAGAGACCAGCAGAGGTCTCCTGGGACACAGAAGAGGAGGATGCTCGGTTATCTAGTTTAAGGTGTCTTCGATAGGCGTTATCGAGGCTAAACACTGTGATCAGGGGACAGGATTAGCAAAATGGCTTCATTTGGGGCTAAATATCATCACTGATTTCTGATAGGATTAACTTGGGCCAAATCATGGGGCCACATGGGGAGTTCTGGGGAGGTTATTTTTAATCAGCCTTTCCCACCAGGTACTTTATAAAAGTGTTAATAATAATAAAGAACAATATTAGCTTTGGACCAATGGCATAATGGCGCCGGCCATTTTCCGGCTTGGAGAGCAGGAGCAATCTAAATCAAAATCTGTAATTAAAAAGGATAATGACTTCTAAATTAGTTTTTATTAATAGAATTAAGCCATATTAGGTCTTAGATGATATCATAAATTTGACATTAGAATGTTCACCCTTAATGAAAACATAAAAACTGAATGATTTAAAGGTCTGATACTGTGTGTTGATTTATAACATTAAATATGTTATATCATCAATATGACACCTCTTAAAGACCCTGTGTCACTAGCGAAGGGTTTAGGTGGTTGCTTGCAGATCTAGGTCACATACAGAGGAAAGCCAGAGAATGGCCATCTCTTACAGAGTCACAGGCTTCCCTTTACGGCTGTGTGTTCTGCGTGTCTCATCGTAATAAAGGGCCGATCAGTCGGGATGTTGGGTTGTCCCACAAATAACCAAGGGAGGCTATAAGAATGGGACATGGGACCTCCTTCCCTGGATATATGTGTCCGGCTCTGCTGTCTTGGGGAGCTGGGCAGGGAGCTGCCAGGAAGGAAATGAGCAGGAACGCCTCTCAGTGGATGGGCAGCAGCTTTGGCAAGGCGGCAGGCTGCCTGTCCAAGGCTACTGGACTTTCCTGAATTGTCTAATGATGGGCCTCGCCATTGGCCCTGCTGTTTGCGCCTCGGCTCCCCAATTCCTCTGCTAGTCAGTCAATCACCAGGGAAGTCAAGGGCAGGGTCTCTGGTTTTCCCTTTTCAGGTATTGGGGAGATCCTGTCTCTGCTGGCCTTTCTAATCTTCCCTAGGGGACTGCTAATATTTCTCACTACTCAGAAAAGACACGATTTTGGTGTCTTCTAGTTCCCTGTACTAAATGCATTGAGCTCGTACAGCCCAGGGGTGGTAGGCTTCGCTGAGTTTGGTGTAGATGAACGGTGTGTCTCAGTCTCCATCCATTTAAGGACGAAGCCTGAAAATAAATGTCTGTCCTTGCTCTTAAATCATTCCAGGGGCGTTTCCAATAAACACTGGAAACTCTGGGGTGCTAATACCAAATGAAAGAACTAGGAACAGCGTCAAAGTTTTACATCCAGACCTGTGATGTGCCTCTTGTATTTAAAGGACATGCCGGGACACATACAGAAAGACCCGTGAGGTAAAAACATAAAAGAAGTCACCTCGCAATGACCCCTGAATTCCTAACTTGATCAACACCGAGCTTCTCCTGGGGAGGGACCATTGCAAATGAGGACAGGTGTGGAGACAAGACCGGGAGAACACGTTCAGTCCATTCTGGCTCAGAGCATGAAGGGCCGAGGCCTCTCTGCTTCTGCTGTCTGCTCACCGCTCCGACCTGGCTAGCTCTGGCTCTTCTTGCCTGAATCCCTCTCTGATAGGCTCTTCCACTGTAAATCTCTGCTGAGGGCTTCTCTTCTCCATGCTTGCTCTTCCCTGCCACAAATGGTTGCAGAGAGAACTGCAATTTTACGATGTTGCAGTTGTCACGGGGCAGCACCAACGATCCCTAAAACCATTTCTCCACCCGTTTGTGGGTGGGGTGGGGTGGGGACACCTATTTGAACTCGACTAAGGAAACGCACCGGTTCGGAGGATGCCGTAAGTCTTGCTGTACCCGATCACATCCTCTAAGAATAGACCCGGAAGAGCAAAACCATCACTGCGCTTACTTCTCAGGCATTACAAGGATGTCTCAATGTTTTCTTATTTAGTTCCGAAGGGGAAAATGAGACCTCCAAGTAGCCAGGATCTCATTGAACACCGCCACACTTCAGAATTTATACCTGTAATTTTCCACACACTCGTGCTCCTGGCAATGAGATGCTCACACTAAGATCGTATGGTCCTTTGGTCTATGAAATACGACACTATTTCTCTTTTCCAAATACCGTTTCCTGCTTTGGGACTGATAATGAAAGCTGTATGATACTCAAGCAAAAGGTCAATAAATCTTTCACAACAGAGCAATTCACCAGGTAGAAGATGTCCACATTTTCCAGTTTTCCTACTTAAAGACATTTTCCCAACCCACACTGCTAGCACTTACGAATTTATTAAGTGCCACAACTGTATTTGTAGAACACATTTTCATACTCGATTTTGCCCCTGAATCGTTTACCCTTTGCTATAAAGCTATCTGAGCCTTAAGGACGCCCTATTCAAATTGCCTTGCTTTAGACCAATGTTTTTAAACTGGCATTCCGATTCATTTAGGTAGTCTTTATTTTCCACATGAAAGATTCTTCAAATTAAGTCAGTGTTAAAAAAAAATAGGAAGAAGAAAGAAATGGCTCCTGAAAGAACGGGTTGAATATGAAGGAATCTTCTCAGCTCGGCCAAGGTGGTCGTGAAGACCAGGTACAGCACTTTCTCCACGAGTCTATTCCAACATTAATCACAAGGGATCTCCCAGAGGCGGCTGCCGCCTGGGGGGCAGAGTTAGGCAGAGACAAAGACTCACAAGGTTTGTTCCTCCCCCACTTTTCAGGAGAGAGAGTCAGAAATTCCTTTTGTGTCTTCCATTTTTTTCAACTACACACAGCCACCCTCCTCCTGGGGACTGCGGTGTCTTTGGTGGGTTTGAAGGGTTCCTGGAGTCCTTGCTTGGCTGGGCTGCTAACAGGAGGAGGGCTAACTCATCAGCAAGATTCACTCATTTCCTTTAAGGTCACCCACAGGAGTCTGCGCTGCCAACTGAGGCCTCTGAAGCCAGCCTCTGGGTGCTGGGGAGCCCTTCCTGAACATCAGCCTGCTCCACTGTTTGTACCCATTCTGCCATGGGCAAACGAAACCCTCTGGCCTTGTTCTCAGGGCTGTCTGAAACACTCTCCTAAGGCCCATAGGATTTCGGAAGAGCCGCTTAACCCCAGAAGTGGCAGGGGTTTCTTTGAGACTAATTGGGTTTACCCCAAATAAATAAAAAACACAGATGCAACCAGGTCCTGAGTTACCGGAAGGCCTAGGAGTTTTAAAACTGCCAAAGAAGCGTGCTATGGGATTGTACGGTCCGCTGTTTCTTTGAGAAATAGCATTAGTGCAGCTTAAAAACAAACCGAGAGACGCGGAAGAAGGCATAGAACAAAGCGAATTGTACACAGATATAATGTGTTGCGCTATTGGTCCACACGCTCTTTTCCAGTTCTGGAGGTGGTCCTGTGTCAGTGAGGCTTAGACACGGAGGCGCAACCATCTCTCTGGGTTAAATGCATCTGAGCCCAGGAGATTGGGGCTCAGATTGGGATTGGGGCAACCTACCATACAGACATGTGGTCACTGTCAGCATTCAGAACTCTTCATTATGACATACAGCATCTGCTGGAGTTTGGCTAACGGAAAGGTACTTAATGAAAAATATTCTCCATCGCCAAAGAGTGGGACCACATGACAACAGGATGTGATTGCCCGACTTCCCCTGTCTTCACCAAGAATCTACTTATTCTTTATCTGAAGGTTTTATTTTTCAGTTATCTTAAATAGAAATCAAAGTTATACAGGGATATATGGCCTCAATGGATTTTTGTCTTGTGAAATTTAGATATAATAGAAAAATAAGCAAACAAAATTTTAGTTCAATAGACTTAGTATTTATAAAATAAAATACTAAGCAGTCATTAAATATGATCTATAGCCTGGCAGTGGTGGCACAAACCCTTAATCCCTATACTTAGAAGGCAAAGGCAGGGGGGATCTCTGAGTTTGACGCCAGCCTGGTCTACCAGGGTGAGTTCCCGGACAGCCAGAGCTAAATAGAGAAATTCTGTCTAGAAAAACCCAAAAGAAAGAAAAAAAAATCTATAGAAGTATATTTAACATCATGGAATAATATAATAATATAAACATCAGAGAAAAAATCCAAAAACCAAAATGGTTATATTTTTAATAGAAAATTCGCTTTTGAATTTTGATTATCTTTAGTTTTAAAATAGTCTATAATTAATATGTAGTATGTTGTTAAAATAAGTAAAGGTTATCAAAAAGGAGTGCTGTTTATTTTTTTCCAAAAGCAATCTACTGACCAGGAATTACAAAAACGGCCACACGCCCCTGGATTTTCTCCTCTGGAGTTCCTAGCCATCTTCCTCCATCCTAGACTTCCTACCCGCGGGGAGGGGGGGGGTCCTTACCTTGCTGCCTGGTAGACACTGATTTTCTGTTTTGGGTAGACCAAAGTAAAGATGAAAGACTACAAAAAGCTAAACGAGGAAAACTATGTCAACTGAAGATCGTTAGCTTTGCTAAGATTCGGAGGTGGAAGCTGTCAGGTCCAAAGAAAAGTCCCAACTCCAGAAAGCCGCCCAGATATCCAGAAATGGACTCAACCTGGACTTACTTACAGGAGGGTTTCTGGTAGTTAGATAAAAGCCTTCATTCATTCTTCAGGAAGTTGGGAACCCAGGGTCCCTCTGCCAAAAGAAGTCTTTTCCCTTACCTCGGGCAGAAGGGACGTCTGACTACTTGTGGTGCCTATTAGCATATCAAAGCACATGCTGGCGACCAGGCTTCCTCAGGCGCAAGTACCTGTTACACGCCTCCCCCCCCCCCCAGCCTTCTCACCTCCTCCCCAACCCTAAACTCCCTCCAGCTCAAAGTCCCCTCAGCTCATTCTCCTTACACCGGCACTGTTTGAGGTGCTCTCTGTGTCTCCTCTCCTTCTCCTACACCCACCCACCCAACTTGCTCCTGGCCAGGTGCAAGCTGTTAGCCGTGTTCAGCTTGCTTTCTCTCTCTGCTGTGAGACGGCCTTCTAACAGCCCCTGCTCTTGTTCTTCCAGACCCCACGAAACCTTGCCTTCTCTATATACGGATGAGAGGTCAGGAGTGGCCGCTGGAGTTCTAGCCCAACAGGCTGGGCCTTCGATTCAGGGTGTTGTGTTTTTATTCAAACAGCTGGACCTCATCATCTGTGGGCGGCAGCCATGCCCGAGAGCCCTGGCAGCAGCAGCTGAACTCACTTGGGAGGCTCTCAAGATCACCTTGCCTAGGCCAATCCTGGTATATTCCACTCACCACCTCTCAGGCCTTCTGAGACACTCCTCTCTCTCTCCTTGGGCCTTCAGGAGTCCAGACTTTTCATTTACTGTTTCTAGAAAATCCTCAAATTACTTTGGCCTCCAGTCCTGCCCTGAACCCTACAACTCTCCTTCCTGTTCCCTCCCCTCTGGTACCTCCTCTCACTCTTGCCCAGAGGCTGTAGAAGCTTTAACCTCACCTCCACAGGCTCTTCTAGACCAGTCACTTACAGATCCCCAGCTCACCCTGTTTGTTGATGGAAGTCCACTTATAGATAAATCAGGAAACCGACAGGCAGCGTATGCAGTGGTCACTTCCACTGACATAGTCGAAGCGACCTACCTGCCAATGGGAACTTCCTCACAAAAGGCTGAATTACTTGCCTTGACTAGAGCACTCCAGATAGCCAAGGGCCAAGGGGCTAATATCTACACTGACTCTAAACATGCCTTCTTGATAGTCCACACTCATTCTGTACTCTGGAAGGAAAGGGGCTTCCTCACTACCAAGGGCACTCCCATAGTTGACAGACCCCTTATAGCCAAACTCTTGGAGGCCCTCCAGCTCTCTGCAGAAGTAGCCATTATTCACTGTTGGGGATACCAGTCCTCCAGGGTTCCAGTGGTCTTAGGCAATGCCAAGGCTGACTCAGTGGCCCGCGGGTCTTGCCTCCAGCTCCTCAGATTCCACAGAAGTAACTCCCTCCTATCAGCCCTGTTATCAATCAAAAGAGAGGAATGAGCTCATAAAAAGGGGGGGCACAAAAACAAAGGATGGATGGTCCTATTTAAATAACCATCTCATCCTTCCTCAAGACCAGGCATTGTCAATCATTTCAGACATCCACCAGACCTTACACATAGGCCCCAAAACTTTGTTCTGCTTCCTGGAGCCCCTCTTTGACCCCACCCATCTCTGAGATTGTGTTTCACAGGTTTATTCCTCCTGCCAGATGTGTGCTGAGGCCAACCCACAGGGGGCTGTCCACATATGTCAGTCTCTACACCAGCTGTGTGGATTCTGACCGGGTGAAGATTGTCAGGTTGATTTCACCCATATGCCTACTCTTAAAAAACTTTGTCATCTCTTAACACTTGTGGACACTTTTACAGGATGGATAGAAGTGTTTCCGGTCTCCAGGGAAATGGCAGATGTGGTAAATCAGGTTTGGCATCCCATGGACCATCCAGATGGACAATGGGCCGGCTTTCACTTCCAGGGTCATGGAGCTTGTGTCTGAAGCTCTCAACATCTCATGGAAATTCCACAATCCCTATCATCTACAATCCTTGGGAAAGGTGGAGAGGGCCAATCGACTCATCAAACAACAGCTAATCAAGCTCTCTACTGAACTCAGGTTATCTTGGCCCTCCCTTCTCCTCATTGTCCTTACTCGCCTCAGGGCCACCCCATGTTCCCCTATGGGCCTGAGCCCCTTTGAGCTGCTTTATGGCAGGCCCTTTCTCCTTAACCACCACCTCCCAGTCCAAACTCCTCCACTGGGGGGGTACCTACCCTACCTCTCCCTTCTGAGGTCCCTTCTCCATTCACACGCTGACAGTTGTCTTCCTGCCACCACACCAGGGGACCCTAATGTCCCCAAACCTGCCCCGCTCTCCCCAGGGGACAGAGTACTCCTCAAACAGCTAGCTGCTAGGCCTCTTGAACCTCGATGGACAGGACCTCACACGGTAATCCTCACCACACCCTCAGCTGGCAAGCTCCTGGGACACCCATGCTGGTACCATCTCTCCAGGCTCACGTGGGCACCTACTCAGGACACTTGGTCTGTTCAGCAGACAGGACCTTCCACCCTCCGGTTTTCCAAGATGCCACAATTAAGGGCCTACCTGCTCCTCATCTTGGGCGATAACAATATTTTTTTCTCCTAGTCACTGCCTAGTCATCTCCCTCAAGAAACAGATGCCTGGTGTCTGTGGGATGACAGAAAACAGGATGCCTCTCCAGCCACACCTTTCTCTGAGCGTGAACCCACCAACACCCAGCTCTCTCTTCTCCAAGGTTGCTCCATGCCTGCAGGATGTAGCCAGACTTGACTTGATGCCCCCTTTTCCAAAGAGAGCCTAAAATGTTGGTCATAAGTATCACCTCAGCTTCCTGTCACTTCTTATACAAACAGTCTGGAATGTAATCCCAGTCCATCAAACCTTGACCCCTCCCCAGGGAAGGTCAAGACCACAGGCTCCTTAAACTGGTCCCTAGAATATAATCATGTGCTCTTCCCTCTTCCTATTCTGTGGTTGCCTTGGCGACTTTCTGTCCCCCCACCCCTCGGGCCACCTGAGAGCACAGGTATCTAATTAAACCTGGGTATCTTTTAATTTGATTTGATTTGGTCTGATTGGGATTATTTGCGTCAGTGGAGATGCTCGGTTAGGAGACAGTCCTAACACACACTGGCTGAACAACTGGGTGACTAGCTGGGGCTCTGGGCACAGTTGTGCTTGCTAACTGACCCAGCAGCTGAAGAAGGAGAAACAGTAAACATTTTCACAAATATATGTCACGGCCCAGAAAGACATTAAGAAGGCCACGGTTTCCATTTCGCATTTTGCAATAATGTGTTTATATTTATGTGGCCAGCCCCTGTGGAGTCACCTCTGAGGGTCCCAGTGAAGGTGAATCTATATCAGTGTACTTTGCAAGCTCCTGGTTCCTCTGAATACAGGCGCTGCCTGGAAGGCATTCTCGCTCTCGTGAGAGCAGGCTGGGTCAGATGGAGCCTAGATAAGCAAGCCACTGGAACCTAGCAGGTTCAGCCAGGCAGTCCCACTCTTACCGGCCCATGGAGTCCTCATTCCAAACTCGGTCAAAGGCAAGAACCAAAACAGCAGTAGAAGCAAAACAGAGACTGCGAACCAAGTGGGAAGTGAAGCCACCATCTCTAACAACGTGCTGGGCTCCTACTGATGGCTCCTTTGAGAACCTCATTGCCTCTCATATGAAGAAGGCCTCAGGGCTGCCTGGTACCAGCACAACTAACGACTCCCTGGGCTCACCTCTGCTAAAGGTTCAGAAGTAGTGGTTCCCATTAGTGTCCCATGCATTTATTTGTAAAATATTGTGGTAACAATTCACACAGGTTTTCATCTAACCCACTGTCAGCATTACAGGCAGTCAGGTTAAATGCACCAGATTCCTGGTTCTCTTGCAAAACTGAAACTAATCTACCCCCCACCCTCCCCAGCCTCTGCTTGGCCCCATCCTCACAACCATGTTGCATCTTCTCAGAGTCTGAATACTTCAGATGTAAGCAAAGCTACATAGATTCATCTTTTTGCAGACAGCTCATTCCCTTTAACAAGAGTTAGCGTCAACTATGTTGCCGTGATATGCCGTGACTCCCTCCTAGAGTGGATCAGCTGCTCTTGTAGCTCTGACAAGAAGCAGTTAGGGGAGAAAAGTTTTGCTCTGGCTTAGAGTTCACAGTGGGGAAGGCAGGTGGTAGAGCTTGACAACTCCCGGAAACAGATGACAAACAGGAAGTGGACTGGACTATTAGCCTGTAAGGCCCACCCCCAGTGACTCACTTCTTCCAGCAAGGCCCTGCTTCCTATGGGTTCTGCAGCACCATCGGCTGGAGACCAAGTGTGCAAACATATGAACCCATGTGGGGGGACATGTCACATCCAAACCTGTGGCGATTTGAAAGAAAATGTCCCCCAAAGGGAGTGGCACTATTAGGAGGTGTGGCCATGTTGGATGAAGTCACTGTAGGGGCGGGCATTGAGGTCTCTCTTGCTCAAGCTTCCCTCAGTGTGACAGACAGGTGACTTCCTGTTGTCTACAAGATGTAGGACTCTCAGCGATGATATCACCATGTCTGCCAGAATGCTGCCATGACGACAATAGACAAAACCTCTGAAACTGTAAGCCAGCCACCCCAATTAAATGTTTCCTTAGAAGAGTTGCTGCGGTCATGGTGTCTTTTCACAGCAATAGAAACCCTAAGACAAAACCACAGCAAGGCTGAAGGAATTCTGGGGCACAAAGTACCCATTTTCTTAATGCATTCTCTGAATGTGGACATGTAGGGTACTTCAGTATCTTGGCTGTTCTGAAAAGTATGGCCATAAGCATGGGTGTGCAATTATTTCTTTAATCATTATTTAAGGGCTTTTCTTTTTTTCTTTTTGATTTTTTGAGACAGGGTTTCTCTGTGGAACAGCCCTAACTGTCCTGGAACTAGCTCTGTAGACCAGGCTGGTCTCAAACTCACACAAATCTGCCTGCCTCTGCCTCCTGAGTGCTGGGATTAAAGGTGTGTGCCACCACGGACCAGCTGAAGTCTTTCTGATAAACCCCACAAGTGTAATTGTTAGATCCTGTGATGATTTCATTTTTAATCTTTTGCTGATTCCAATTTTAATCTATCATGTTATTCCCGTGGCATATGAACTTATAGTGGCTTTAAGAATTACAACCCTTGTTGTAGTGATATATTATGTGTGTTTTAATAACTAAAGCTTGCCTGGAGATCAGAGGGCAAAGCAGCCACACTAGTCAACCATACAGGCCAGGGAGTGGTGGCACACACCATTAATCCCAGGACTCAGGAGACAGAGGCAGATGGATTTCTGTGAATTCAAGGTCACCGTGGGCTACCTTGGGCTACACAAAATTGAATCTGTCTAAGAGAGAAACAGAACTCACACAAAGGTAATCCCAGAATTTGGGATTATACACCTTTAATCCCAGCACCGGGGAGGTGGAGACAGGAGCAATATGGCTGGACAGAGAGAGGAATATAAAGGGGAAGAGACAGGAGCTCAGTGGAGTGTGGAGTTTGGGGATTCCTGGAGACAGGATCTTGCCCTTTGGTCTGAAGATTTAATAGAGGTAAATGGTCTCTCTAGTGGTTGGCTGCTTTGATTTCCTGATCTTCAGCTTGAACCCCAATGTCTGTCTCTGGGTTTTTACTGTTTGTGCTACTTAACAACCGAAGCTCAACCAAGGCCATCTCTGTTTAGAACACTGAGTTGCCTTGGGACTTTGGATATACTGGAACATCGTTTCTCCCCTCCAGCATTTTATGTGAAAGAAAAGAGGAAACAGTTTGAAAATGAAGGTAGACATGAAGGGTTCCTGCTATTGGCTCTTTCTTCTCAGGTGAGTTTTTATAGTAAATGACAAAGAACCCCAGGCCATTGTTTTTGAAGATACTGTGTTCACTTCAACAGGAGACAATGTTTCAAACCGGCCGAGGAGGCAGGGCATTTTGTCTGTGGTAAGACTGTCTGTAGCTATCTCTCCACAGAAATGCCAACCAGAACAGTTATCTAAACACCAAACTACTCCAAGAACTAAGGTCAGGTGAGAGGTCACTGTACCTGCTTCTAGAGTGACAAAATGAATGGGCCAGGGAGGAAGAGTTTGACTATGTCTGACTATGTCATCTGAAGTCCCTAGTGCAGGCCCAGCATCAGGCAGAGGCTTGCGTTATGTCCAGGCCCAGGGTACTGCTGGGGGATACCCACCACCCACCTCCCACCACTGACCATGTCCTCGTAGCTCGAGACCTATGCATTCCAGGGTTGCATCAGCCTCAGACCCTGTACCCTGGTGCCGCAGACTAAAGTTTCAGCCCACATTGGCACCAACATGGCATAGGCCTTGATGCTCCTCAAATGCAAACTGGTGGCTTCTAGTGGCAGTCCTGAGAAGGCTTCCGTTTCCATCTGAATCCTCACGCACACATCTAAGCCTCATTGTCCACGTCCCCCCTCCCCCCCCAGCAGTCTTTGTCTTCTGGGCTCTTACCAGAATCACACAGTTAGCTCTGCTTACAGAGTTGAGGCCTTTCGAGCCTAATTCTTCAAGATTTTCCCAATTCCTTCTACAAATCAGTTTGAAAGACTATCCATGTGGTTAGCTATGGTCCATAGTCCATAGACACAGCCATGACCTCATTTTCAGTACACACTTTCTGTTTTCATAGCCTGTGATCACAACAAGACCCCAAGACAATGAACTCATCCTCTGTGTGCGACCTTCTCCCACCAATCCCGGCTTAAATGGCCCAGGGCAGGAGCCTCCACGGCTACGCTTCAGTATAAAGTCCCCCAAGGGAGAGTAAAGGGCATCGAGTATTAAAGGTTCCCCAAACATTTGCCACCGCACCTAAATCTCTTCCTTGGCCGTATCGATATGATGCTCCAGGTTTCCAGTGGTTGCCCCTTGCCAGCATCCCAAGCCCTCCCAGCTCCCTGAGCTTTCTGAAGGATGCTGTGGTCTTCGCACCCACTCCTTAGCTCCACCCTCTCTCCATGCAGCATTCTGTGTTGGCTTGGGCTGTAGATTTCTGGGCCCTCCTGTGCGCGCATTCCAGAACTGATCGTTTCTGGAGGCAGCTCAAGACTGTGTTCTGAGGAACCCTGTCCCGCTATTCCGCCCATTATTTCCTCTCTAGTCTCAAACACCCCTGCTTCTCATTTGTATTGTCCTATTCCAGTGTTTCCAGTCCTCTCTTTATAGTTATTCTCAGCCTTCAGAGCTCTGCGCTAAGAACCTAGGTTGCAAGCAACAACAACCATGCAACGCCCTTGTCCTCACGCGATCTGATTCCCCTGAACTGGAAGGACGATGGTCATGCTGAGGAACAGGGAGAGCTAGGCGGGCAGAGGCTAAACGGAGCTCCAGACACTGATCGCTTCTCCTTGGTAGACTTGGAGAAACGATTCATGGACGGGCAGCCTTTAGCTTGGGTCTTGACTTGGGAAGGAGGAGGAAAACTTTTATGGAAAGGGTTTTCGGAGTTGAGAGATCAGCATATTCTAACCATGGGGTGGGAGATGGAGGACCCTAAGGGCTTTAGCACAGCTGAGATGCGGGAATGCGATGGGGGATTGCAGAGGAAGAGAGACAGTAAGGTTGAAGAGAATGAGGCCAGGTTCGGGGAGGACAAAACTGAAGGGGCGTGTGTGTGTGTGTGTGTGTGTGTGTGTGTGTGTGTGTGTGTGTCCGTGTCTGTGTCCATGTGCGTGTGTGTGTGTGTGTGTGTGTGTGTGTGTGTGTGTGTGTGTGAAGTAAAAGGCTTCCTAGCCAACAGCCTTTTAGGATTTTTACTGTGGCCACAATGATCAGGAAGACAGACCAACATCAAGAGTAAAAGAGATGGACATCTATTGGATCTCAAGAGTGGGCCTGCGCCAAGGCAGAAAGGCAGCTGGAATGGAAGAGAGTGTGGATGATACAGGGGGCAAG